GCTTTTTTTTTCATTAGTTATAAACTTGTGATGCTTTCCAGTCAACAATGGTATTGAAACAGCCAGTCATGGACGCAAACGTGCTCGTACTGCAGACCATACAGCAACCTCACGGCGGTGGTTCCCTTGGCAAGACAAGGTTGTAAGTAGTCTGCTCCCCCAATATGTTCTTCTAGCGTACCATCTACATTATATCACTTATACAGAGATGTACCCTGGATATATTAATGCATTTACCCCGCTCAGTTTTCTCGCAGAAACAACTTGATCTGTTTCTCTGGCTGCTCAAAGTCAATGATGTGGATGATTTCCCATCAGTCAAGGCCATGCAAAGTCTTAATTCCGCTTTGCAGAAGTGCTGTGGCATTGGGACTATTGCTTACAAAGGAGCGCTGGGGCATCATTACCATGTAAACAACCTTGCTCATATTATATCTTGGGTAATTCTAACCTCATCTTTTTGAGCATGACACGACATTCCTATCCTTTTAACAGGAGATGTCAAACCCCAAGGTTAGGCCCCACTTACACTTCTACCCCGAAGGCAGTGCATTATGGCTCTCAGAGGCTTGACAGGGTTTGCGCTGGCTGCGTGAAGTTCCAGATGAGCAGCTCACACCTATGGCACGGCTCAACAGCCACAATTATTACATACACAAACCTGCAATGCTCTCGGATGGCTGTGTATGTATCCCCTTCCGCTGGTTTTATCGTACTCAGAATGACCATCCAATAATGTTTGCCCGGTGCTGGGCCATGGAACCTGTAGACACAGACCACCAGCGTAGTTGGAAGGTCATCAAATGTGATGATTATGTGGTTTCGCAGAATGAGTTCCTCATGAATTTCCCGCAGCTTTGTCAGAATGTGAAGCGATATGATCTTCCTGACCCCAGGCTTCTCTCTGATACATTAAAAAACGAGATTGTTTCCCCAACAACATATTAATTATTTTATTTTTCAGCCATTGTAGACTCCAAGACATCCTCAACTTCCAAGTGGGCATTTACAGATCTCAATGTTGGGAATCAATGGCGTGCACTGTTGAAAGGGCACAAAGTGCTCAGTTTTCCAATATGGATGTACTGTGATGACACGTCCGGTAATATGTCCAAGAAATGGAATGAACATAACAGTTTTCTGTTTATTCCTGCAGGTCTTCCACAATCCGAGGCCCAACAAGAATACAATGTACACTTTTGTGTACATCCAACTTAGCACCTCCACTGGAGATGCTGGATGGTATTGTTGGCCAGCTCAAGCATGTCAACTTTTTTTTACTTTAAAATACCTGGACTAACAGTATCAACTTTCTAGCAATGCACAAAAAAGTGGTGTTTGGTCATGGGACTCTCAAACAAATGAGCCAGTCCTTCTTCTACCCTTCGTACTTGCTCTGTTGGGAGACAATCCTATGCAGAGTGAATTTGCTTGCCACATAGGACTGCATGGAAAACTTTTTTGTCGTGCATGCTGGGTCAAAGGAATTGATGCTGGTACCAACATCCTTGAGTCAGCAGGCCAGCGTGTCCACCAAGAAAGCAATGGAGCCAAAAGTGATGCAG